TCCGTAATAAATTGCGTAATATTACGTAATAAATTGCGCAATATTATGTCCAGACCGTAATTCTTGCGCGATATTACAGGCCGTAATATCTTACGTAAGATTACGTTTATATAATTTGCTGATGTAATTAACCTGATCAATTTACCTTATTGCATTACATAATTTTGAACACTCTAACAAGAGGTTATCTAAAGCCATGTAAAATCACATAACACAGGGCCAATAAAGTTGTTTATTTTGATTGATACATATTAGCCCAAAGAGAAAAAACAGACAAAAAAAGTAAAAAAATACAAGAAACAAGTGTCTAAATCTATCTCAAAGTATTGATAAAAAATGTCAAAAAGGCAATTTTACTATAAAAATTGCTCTAACTCTAATCCAAACTAATACTTACTCTAACTTTAACTAAATAGTCAAAACCATATAAATGGACACAACTTTAGATGTCCCCAAAACAATCCAGTCAGAGAATATACCAAATTTGGTTATTAACAATTACACCTTATTTAGTGATGATCATCAATCAGATAATTCTAGAATCTAAATTCGAAGCATAACAAAAAAACTACAATATAGCAATAATGATAGATTTTTGTTTTAAAAAAAATTATAATAATATTTTTTTTTATAACATTCTTTAATTTAATAATTTATTTATTTACATTTATTTTTTTAATTTTATATAAAGTATTTTAAAAATGCATTTGTGTCTTAAAATATTTAGATTTTGCTAAATGAATAATCTTTACATATATCAACTAAATTAACATGAAATTGGTTTAATAAATATCAATAAATTTGTACAAGTCAAATACATTAAATAATAAATTAATATAATTCTTGCTAACTAAGTTAACTCAAATAAAACAAAAAAAACATAGCAGTAACAGTAAGAACTTCAATAACTTATCTTAAATATATTTGACAAATCAATTATTTTTACCTATATTCAGCAATTAGACCAATATGAATAAAATAAATTAATAATATTGTGCAATAGTAAATACAAAATATAATAGCTAATAAATAATACTTATACTGTACTTGCCTCCAAATACTACATCAATTAATAAAATCTTTAATTCTATTGACTAAATTAATATGAACAAATAGCATCACATAATACATAGTATAGATCTATTAACTTATTTGAACGCCCTAACTAATAAGTGCTCTTAATACTTACTATATAATAGCCTAACACAGATTAATAAAAAATAAACTTTCAATTCTTCATGTGTTGGTGTGATTAGATTAGGCTTTGCTTACTTTAGTAAAAAAAGTTTATTGTAATAAAATACAATAGATTATTAAACTAAATATTCTATTGTTAGAGCACTGATATTTATTACATAATATCCATTTACTATAAGGGCTACCCCCTCCCCCCACGTAAGATCTATATTATTGACCAATTTAGAAATCATATAATTTCTTTGTATAATGTAATATATTGATATAATACATGCTCAATCTCCCACCTCCTAAAATATTACATAATAAATGTCAGAGCCCTTACTGTAAAAAAAAAATTTGAAGAGTATAAAAGTATAGAAAGATATACTTAACATGTAATATTACGCTCTTACAATTCGACTTGTACAAAACAAATCCTTAGATTTCAGGTCTTATTTACTTTTTTGACAAGAGTCAATTTGGGTTGATTATTTTTGATTATTTAAACTAGATGTTATAAACTATCTATTTGTGAGTTTATTCACAAACTTCCAATAATAACTTAAAGTAAAAAAAAATTTCTGGAAAATGGTGACATAAGAGCCAATCAAATTTGAGAATTTGCATGTGGATCATTCTAGAACCCGATATCTATATTTGGTAAATCCCCTGATTGCAATCTAATTCAGGTTAATTTTGCAGATCATTCCGAGGATTTTCCAGCCAAATAATATGCAAATTTGACCTGAATTAGATTGTTTTACATATGGGCTGCTGTCAATAATTAATGCCTTAACTTTCACAGTTTATAACTCAATGGATTTTAAAGCTATCTTGATGGTTTAATATTCAAAAGAAAGCTTACGATCTAAGAATTCTTTTAAATATTAAACCATCAAGATAGCTTTAATATCTATCGAGATATGAGCTGTGAAAGTTAAGGCATTAATTTTTTTTCAAATGTAGATCTACCTGATTTCTATTGACGGCAGCCCATATGATATTCAATATGCCTGTATGTAAATTTATATACTTTTAGGGTGCATTTATATACTCATATATTGATTATTATTAAACTAGGTTAATGCATAGCATTGTGTGTCCGGAGCACATGATAATTATCATATTGCACAAACGCGTGATATGTTTTTGCTACACTAAAGTACAAATATAGACACGCGTGCGGACAGACATGAATTTTCAAATTTACATTTTTGATGCACCAGAATAATATATTTGATGAATTAATCAAGAACGTAACTTTTATACATCGAAAACGTAACCATTGTATCACCATGACTAAACATTAAAAGTTCTCCGCTACACTCCGGACAATAATTGATTAAATAATTAATCGGCTATTAGTCGCTTTAACCGATCGGCTAACTGGCTAAGAGTCGATAACTGATTGTAGTCGACTGAACCATCCCTAGACGTAACTACTATACAGAAACTTTGAATCTCTTAATGCTCAGTAACTGTATAGTAACTATGTAGTTACGATTAAATTTAATAGTAATTATTTAATTACTACGTCGTTACTATGCAGTTACTGCATATTAAGATATTTAAGTTTCTGTACTGACGATTGACGAAACTCTGGCGAAATTAATTTGACCAAAAAAATATAAAAATGCAGTTGTCAATCTTTCAACAAGTTCTTATATAACGACATCTGGATATTCTAAATCTTAGATTTTTCAAAATTACCATTATTTCTTCATAAAGTTTCGTTGGTTTCTTCTTCGTCAGTTCAATTCTATCGGATACATTCGGGTTGGTGATGCAAATCATCGGATAAAAGCGTCAAAAAAAGACAAGTTTTAATTTTTCTTATATTTGTCATATAAAATTTATGTTCGTCATGAGTTCTGTAATTCGTCAATTCAATGTTGCCGAAACTGTTTCGTCATTCGTCAGTGATGAAAGGTTTCGTCATTCATCAGGCGTCATTAACTGCCATCTAATTGGCTAAAAAAAAAAAAATTCCCAGCGCATCTGCAAGCGCATAACTGTTATATATATATCGATAATATTACTTAAATTAGTTTTACAAAATGAAGATCACTAACACAAAATCCTGGAATATAAGGTTTGGGTAACGATAACTGACAGACGTGTGAAAATCGTAAATTAAATTTAGAAATAATATTTACAATTATAATTGGTGCTCAAATGATCAACAATTCTTAACAAGATGTCGCTTCCACCAGAAATATTACAAGCGATATTTGAAGAACTTGATGAACCTTCCTTGTACTCATCAATATTGGTCAATCGAGATTGGTGTCAAAATGCTATTAGCAACCTTTGGGCTAATCCTTTAGAATTTGGTTATAATAATCGGAATCAAATTTATTATGACAAACTTGCATCAATTCTTTCGACGTATATTTCTTTACTTCCCAATGAATCAAGACATAAATTAATTGAAGTTTATATAGCAAGACCAGAGGATTTTTCAAACATTAATTTAATGTTTAATTATTCACAATTTTTACAAAATTTAAACTATATATTATTACAAGATTCAATTGAAAAAATTTTGGATATACAATATGATGGAAATGAAAGCGATAGAATTAATTTGGTTTCCGAAGAATTACTCAAAATGTTTCTTAATCAAAATTCACGTTTAAAATCTCTTGACTTTAGTTATCAAAAATTGTCAGGAATTATTATTTCTCATTTAGATAAAAGAATTATCGATTTTCCTTTAGAGATCAGTTTGGGTAATCTACCTGGTATTATAACGGCACTTTCAAGACTTAAAAAATTTAGTTGTAAAGGTAATAATAATTAATAATTAACATAATTAGCATAATTAATATTTATTAATATTATAATACATTATAATAATAATAATAAAGATCAATACTAAAACAAATTGACAAAATGATATTTTATACAGGCAATACACCGTCCAAATTTCTTTCAACATTAGCAGCAATCACTTTGGAACTTCAAAGCTTAAATATTTACGATGGAGAAGACTCACATGGAGTTATTAGTCTTATTAACGCACAAAAAAAACTTAAAGAAATTGATATTCATATATGTCGGGACATTCCTAGGATAATTTCAGTGCTTAGTAATAAATCTAAAACTTTTCAAAAATTTGCATTAAGTGCTCGTAATGCATATATTTCTATTGGACTTCCATCACTTTCAGATTGTCTAGAAATATTATGTAATTCATCAGATCTTGAAGAATTAACATTAATTTTTCCACGAGGAGCACTTGCACAAGCACAATGGTTAATTCGACGACATGCAGCACAAATGCGACTAAGATTACAACAGCAACAAACGAGAACATTACAATTTTTAAATCAAACTATTCGAGCGCATAGACAAAACTTTCCTCATCAAAGTCATCAAAGAGCATCAGCACATAGACGAAATCGAGCGATGTCTCGTACACTTGAAGGATCACTACAAAATCCATTTCTTATAACTAGTCCAAGACCTATACCTATAAGAACGACACAACATCAGGAGAATAATCGTCAATCGAACACATTTGTTACACAACCACCACGTCAGATCCTTTTTACAAATTCAGGACCTACAAAACTTCGAAAGCTTATGATTACTTATCATTTATCGCACTATATTCAATCATTTGTGTCATTAATTCAAAATACTAAAGGAACTCTTGAAATTATCAAGTTAGATATTACAAATGCTTTAGATCCACATATCTATCCAACATTATTTTCGACAATTGTGAATAATTGTCCAAATTTGACGTTTATTCACTTGTATATTCCCAATGAATCACTTTTTGAACTTTCACAATTATTTAGGAAATGTTTAAAATTAGAAGATATTCATTTATTTGGAGATCAAAATAACTCTATTGATATCAGCCCATTCCTTGAAGAAATGAGTACGATAGTACCTATTGGTTTAAGAAAGTTAGAATTGGGAATATCTTGGAATTATTCAGTAGATGCGCTTAGATCCTTTTTAGGATCTTGTATGATTAAATTAAAATTTAAACCATGTAAATTTTATCATGGTGATTTATCTGATGAAATTGATAATTTATTTCAATTTTATCAAATAATCGGTGTTATTCAACCTGAAAGAAGGTTTTATTGAAGTTGATCGAAAACTACCAAAATTTTCTTTAGAAAATATAGTGCATTGTTTTAATAAGATACTATCACGCTTTACTAGAATCATCATACAATATTAGTATTCGATCTACAAAAGCTCGCTCGAGAACTCGATTTTTTTGTTGATAGAACTTTACGAAAAACGCGTAAAATTTTGTTTAATTTTTTTTTCTTTTTTTTTTGTTGACTAGTTAATCATGACTACGAACAATTTATTAAAGATTTAAAAAAAAAACGAGTTTTATTTCTTTATATATTAAGTAGCTTGTTCATAATAAAAACTATACCTGTAACAACCTTTTTTTTTCTTCAATAAAAATTTATTTGCGTAAAAAAACGATTAGAACTTTTTCTTTATTAAAATTTAATGAATACTAAGCTTGTTAAAAAATTTATATGCTTAATTGTTATAACAATAACAAGTTTATTTAATGCGCAAAGATCGATTTTACTTCTGTACTTTGTAGTGAATTTAATGTCCGAAAAACGTTTTAATAGTCCACGAAATTATCAACCGATTTTGTAAATTGACTATTCAAATTAAGCTTTTTGGTTGATTCTTAACAAAATTTTTATTTATACGCGTCCTGATTTTTATGTGCTATACATATGGACTGCCGTCAATAGAAATCAGGCAGATTGACATTTTAAAAAAAATCCATACCTCAACTTTCACAGCTCATATCTCGATGGATTTTGAAGCTATCTTGATGATTCAACATTCAAAAGAAAGCTTAGAACTTAATCTTTCCTTTAAATATTAAATTATCAAAATAGCTTCAAAATTCATCGAGATATTATCTGTGAAAGGTGAGGTATATATATTTTTTTAAAAATGTTGATCTGCCTGATTTCTATTGACAGAAGCCCATATATTAGAGTTATTAAATTTTTAAATGACTCAAGCAATTCGTTGCACCAAACTTTTTGCATTTAGAGAACAAAAAAAAAAAAAAAGAAGTATTTATGGGGTCAAAAATATATTTTGGACATAGCTTGAAATTGCATTTACTGAAGTCTGACTGTAGTATATTATTTTTTAAGCTAAAGATATAACTTGCCAAATGATGTTGGTTTTCCGGAATACAGTACAGTTAACTAGTTATACCTAACTTACAATTTTTAAAATACTTGTACCGGTAACCCTGAAATAAAAATAACAAAATCACTGGTAGATTTTAGCGTTAGAATTGAAGATTGAAATTTCTGCAACATCCAAATTTAAGGCTTTCGAATGCCTTGATATAGAAGTGCAGTAAAAACAGTTACGGTTTATGCAGTTTATCTACTCGACGCGTATAATAGCGATAGTAAAGCCCGTTTATTACATACTTTTCCATATCCGTATACGTAATGGTACAGTAGATAACGATAAGATTAAGATCACAAGATGAAAGCAGGTCTTACTATATGGGTAATTATCTTTGAACCCGGACCAATTTTGTATATATGACGTAATAACACTTTGGTAAAATAATCACCCATATGTAGGGAAATTCTAAGTAGCTTACGCATCGAAGATCAATTCCGAATTCTATTACTTTTCAACATGAAACAATGGTTTCGTCTACAAATTACAACTCAGCCTCTTATCTTTCATAGTTTCATTAGAGTTTCTAAGGTTTCATCTTTCACTAGAAATTTCGTCTTTCGCCAGGGATTTCATAATTTCTCCAAAAATTTCGTCTTTCATCAGGATTTCGTCAATTCCCCAGGGGTTTCGTCTTTCGCTAGGGTTTCATCCCTTCGTCAGGCGTTTTATCCTTCATCTTTCTCCGGTTTTAGGTTTCGTCTTTCTTCATTAAACAAAAATTTTTCTCCCAAGAATTATAAATCAACTACATCAAATAATGTATCCTCGGCGTCTCAACCGTCGACCATTGTTGAATCTACGACGAAATCATCTCATAATTCAGATTGGCGTATAGTAAAACATTTAATTGGATATATATGGCCCAAAGATGATTTATCGATAAAGATTCGTGTTATCGTTGCATTGTCTTTTTTAGTTGGAGGAAAGGTAATTGTACTTTATATTTTTATATTATCCTTAATCGATTTCATTAATTTAATATTAGTTTCATTTATAAAAAATATATAAAAGATTCTCAACGTCCAAGTTCCATTCTTTTTCAAATACATAGTCGATTCTTTAAATGTAGATGCTGCTCAGATCGGAACTGCAATGACAGTTGTTGGTGCTATGATCGCTGGGTGTATGTAATACCTTATTAATAATTAAAAAAAAAAAAAGAATCAAATTTTTAATAAATTCTTTTTATTTCAGATGGTCTTGCACGTATTGGTTCAACCTTATTCTCTGAACTTCGTAATGCAATATTCGCTAATGTAGCACAAAAAGCTATCCGGCAAGTTGCCAAGAATGTTTTTCATCATTTGCATAAACTGGATTTGGATTTTCATCTCAAGCGTCAGACAGGTGGTTTGAGCAGAGCTATTGATCGTGGAACTAAGTAAATGCAATTAATTATATTAACAATAATCTTGAGAGATTAGATGTTCCATCACTCATTCAATAATGTTCGGCACTCGAACTTTCGTTCTAAATTAGAGGCATTAGCTTTTTGCTTTCTTCTCTCGTATTTCACGTGCTGCCAACAGCCTTGGAAATCGCGATCGTTTGTGGTATTTTGGTAAGTCATGATCTTTAATTTAAATTTGATCTATGAAATATATATAACTTTAGAGGATATTATTATTAACTATAATGCAATAATCGATTGAAATTTTTTTAGATAAATAATTATGGTACACGTTTTGCAACTGTAACTATAATTACGATGGCAACATACGCTGCATTTACAATAAAGACAACTTCATGGCGGTAAATTTTATAATTAAACCTACATCTTAAAAATATATTTAATAATATATACCGAGATAATTAATTAATTAATTAATTAATTTAATGATAACCTAATAGTACCAGGTTTCGCAAAGAGGTCAATCAGGCTGATAATGAGGCTGCAACAGTGGCAGTGGACTCTTTGTTAAATTTTGAAGCAGTCAAATATTTTAACAATGAAAAATTTGAAACAGAACAATATGACAAGGCCTTGTCAAAATACGAAAAAGCTTCTCTCAAGGTAGCCACTTCTTTGGCCTTTTTGAATTCTGGTCAGAATTTCATCTTTAGTTCTGCCCTAACAGCTATGATGGTTTTGGCTGCTCAAGGCATTGTTCAAGGTATTAAAAACTTTTTATTTTTTGGATTTTAATGATTTTAATGCATAATATTTTAATACATAATATTTTAATACGTACATAAATATTGCTTTTCATTTTAAATTAAATTATTTATAGGAACACTAACTGTTGGTGATCTGGTGATGATTAATCAGCTTGTGTTTCAACTTTCATTACCTTTAAACTTTCTCGGCTCGGTTTACAGAGAACTACGACAAAGCTTAATCGACATGGATATTATGTTTAATTTACAATCCATGAACATCACCATTAAAGTATTAAAAATTTTATTAAATAATTATACTTGTATTTTATACGCAACTTGAAAAATCATTTCTTCTAACATCTTAGGATACGCCTGACGTGAAACCGCTCATTATTCAAGGTGGTGAAATCAGATTTGAAAATGTTGTGTTTGGGTACCATCCTGAACGTCCTATTTTGAATGGCGTTAGTTTTGTTGCTCCAAGAGGAAAAAAAATAGCAATTGTAGGTCCAAGTGGGTGCGGGTAAGCTTATGAAATAACCATTAACTATCTTTGTTTATACGTTTAAACTTTTTTTTTTAAATTAAACTTTTGTTTCAATTAGAAAATCGACTATATTGCGATTATTATTCCGATTTTATGATCCTCAATCTGGAAGTATTTATATCGACGGGCAAGACATTAAAAAGGTCACTTTGGAAAGTTTAAGAAAAAGCATTGGTGTGGTTCCACAGGTAATAAATGTTACAGCGCTTTTCAATTTACTGTGATCATCAAATTTTGTAGATCACACGTCACCGGAAAGATATTCATATCCCAAACTTTTTTAAACATTGAGCGAAGATATCTCGACAACCACCAGGACAAATTTAATGAACTTCTTTTTATTTGAATTCTACTGATTTGTAGAATTCAAATAATAAAAAAAAAGTTCATTAAATTTGGCCTGGTGGTTGTCAAGAAACCTTCGCTCGAAGTTAAAAAAATTCAAAGTAATTTTTCTCGAACTTTGTGCAAATATATCTTGACAACCATCAACTCAATTTTGACAAACTTTTCTTTTTTATTTGGATTCTATATCTGTAGAATTCAAATAAAAAAAAATTCATCAAAATTTGATTGATAATTGTCGAGATATATTAGTTCAAAGTTTGAGAAAAATTTCTATTTGAGACTTGAGTTTTTTAAACAGAGCCAAATTTGATGAATTTTTTTTTTTATTTGAATTTTAGGGAGACATAGAATTCAAATAAAAAATTATTAAATTTGATTTAGTATTTTATGAGATATCTTCACTCAAATTATGAGAAATTATGACGCAGCTTCTGTTTTATGGACGCTTTGAGTTTTTTTAGCGAAGATTTCTTTACAAATACCAAGCCAAATTCGGTCAATTTTTTATTTGAATTCTACAGATCTGTAAATTCAAATAAAAAAATTCATCGAATCTAACTTAGCAGTTGAGATATCTTTGCTCAAAGTTAGAGAAAATTTTATTTGATAGATGTTGAATTTTTGAGCGAAGATATCTCAACAACCACAAGCCAAATTCGTTTTTTTTTTTTTTTTTTGAATTTTACATGTTCATAGAATTCAAATAAATAAATGATTATTAAATTTAGTTGAATATTTGATGAGATATCTTTATTCAAAGTTGAGAAAATTTTTCGCTTTTTGATAAACGTTGAATTTTTTAAAACTTTGGGCAAAGATATCTTGACTACTATCAAGCCAAATTTGATAAACGTGTTTTTATTTGAATCCTACAGATTCATAGAATTCAAAAAAAAAAAAAAAAAGCTCATTGAATTTGGCTTGGTGGTTGTCGAGATATCTTCATTTAAAGTTTGAGAAAATTTTAACGCAATTTTTATTTGAGAATTTTTTAAAACTTTGAAAGAAACTATCTCAACAGCCACCAAGCCAAATTTAATAAGCTTTTCTTTATTTGAATTCTACTGGTTTGTAGAATTTAAATAAGAAAACTTCATCAAATTTGACTTGGTGGTTGTCAAGATATCTTTGTTCAAAGTTTTAAAAAAAATTTAAAAATATGAGGAAAGGCTTGAAATTTTCCATATTATTTAGCTGCACAAACAACTAGCTCTTATATATTACTTAATAAAGCATTGAAAAAGCGAAAATTGAAGAGGAATTCTGGGAATTTTTATTTGTTAGAAAGAAATTTAGATTTATTCGCAAAAAAAGGCCTTAAAATTAGGGAATTTTGATTTCCATGTGATCGTACAAAAATTTTATAGATTTATCGATTTTAACTACAATGATTTTAATTTTTTAATAGGAAACTGCTCTCTTTAATAATACTATTTATCATAACATATTATATGGCAAGATTAATGCCAGTCCCAGTGAAGTAGAACATGCTGCAAAAAGGGCCCAAATTCACGAAGTAATTCAATCATTACCTGATAAATATAATACTAGAGTTGGTGAACGTGGTTTTATGATTTCTGGAGGTGAGAAACAACGTGTGGCCTTAGCAAGAACAATTTTGAAAGATCCCCCAATACTTTTTTTTGATGAAGCAACTTCGGCGTTGGATACTCATACTGAACAATCTATCCTCGCTAATATAAGAAGTATACTTCATGAAAAGAATAAAACAAGCATGTTTGTTGCACATAGGTTAAAGTCTATTTCGGATGCTGGTATGTTGATTATATATATATATTTTTTTATTTCCTGAATTTATTTATTTTTATGGTAATTCTATTTTGACCCGGGTCAAAGTGACCCATCATGTGACCATATGCACAAGAATTTTCAAAACTTTGAGCGAAGATATCTCGACACTCATCAAACCAGATACAATAAATCCTTTTTTATTTGAATTCTATGGATTCATAGAATTCAAATAAAAAAATTTTCGCCAAATTTAGTCGGATAATTTTCGAGATATCGTTGTTCAAAGTTAAAGAAAAATCAAAACGCCTATAAAATAGAAGTTGCACCAAATTTTTCTTTAACTTTTATCGAAGATACCTCGACAACCATCAAACCAATTCGATAAACCTTTTTTTGATTGAATTCTATGGATTCATAGAATTCGAATAAAAAGCTTTTCATCGAATTTAGTCAAGAGTTCGCCAAGATATCTTCGCTCAAAGTTAGAAAAAAATCAAAACGTCTATCAAAATAGAAGCCGCACTAAATTCTTTTTAAAGCTTTGATCGAAGATAATTTGACAACTATCAAACCAAATTAGATAAAACTTTTTTTATTTGAATTTTATGGATATATAGAATTCGAATAAAAAATTTTTCCTTAAATTTAGTCAGGCGGTTGTCGAGATATCTTTGCTCAAAAGTTGGAAAAAAAAATCAAAACGCCTATCAAAATACCAAATTATTTTAAAACTTTGAGCGAAGATATTTTGACAACCATCAAACCAATTCGTTAAAACTTTTGTATTTGAATCTTATGGGTACATAGAATTTGAATAAAAAAATTTTCATCGAATTTAGTCAGGTAGTTTTCGAGATTTGTTCGCTCAAAGAGAAAAATCAATACGCCTATCAAAATAGAAGCTATGCCAGATTTTCTCTAATTTAAACAAAGATAACTCGACAACCACTTGGCTAAATTCGATGAAAATTTTTTTATTCGAATTCTATGAATCCATCAAATTCAAATAAAAAAGGTTTTATCGAATTGGGTTTGATGGGTGTCAAGATATCTTCGTTCAAAATTAGATAAAAAATTTGACGCAGCATCTACTTTGATAGGCGTTTTGATTTTTCTTTAACTTTGAGCGAAGAAATCTCGATAATACCTGACTAAATTCGATGAAAATTTTCTTATTCGAATTCTATGAATTCTATGAATAAATAGGATTTAAATAAAAAAAAGTTTTATCAAATTTAATTAGATGGTTATCAAGATAATTTCGCTCAAAGTTTTGAAAATTCTTAGTTATATGGTCATGTGATGGGTCATTTTGACCCAGGTCAAAATAGAATTGGCCTTATTTTATACTAGATTTGTGAATTAACACTTTTTATGAAAAAAAAATAGATAAAATTTTAGTACTATACGATGGTGTTATAGTCGAACGTGGAACCCATAACGACCTTGTAAATAAAGAAGACAGTCTTTATGGAGATATGTGGTTTTCACAAGAAATGGCAGATCCAATACTGGACGAAGAGTACGGTGAGAATCAAGAAAATGATGGGACAGAAAAACCCGATTCAACAAGAAATTAGTGTAATTTAAAAAGGGTTATACGCATGTATATTATATATTAATGGTTTTGTAATAAAAATTAATTTAACTATTTAAAATTCACAGTGGATAATTGCATTTTGAATTGTCACTTTTTTTTATACAATAAACCAGATGGTATTTAATTTATTCTAATCGTTCATTATTAAAGCTATATATGTAGTACATACTTAACGTGTTGCTGGTAATGTTATAAATTTGAACATTTTCACTTATGAATGTAGAAGTTACCGAATTGCAAATTATCTCGTTCTTTTTTAAAAATAAATCGGTTATTTATCTTTATACCGGATTTATATATTAGAAAATTTATTTATCATTGATATTAGACATCACTTTCAAATTTAAACTATCTCGAATAAAATAATAAGCATTACAGTATTAGCATTGTTATCGATTATATCGCTTTGAAAATGACATCTAACATTATTTAAATAACCCGATTTTATTCACTAAATCAAATTTATAACCGATATATTACTATATAGGTATTTTAATATGAATATCCAATATAAACTCTAATTATTAATTTAACATAATGAACGCGTCGCGTGAATCTAATTTACAAATTAATTAGTGTTAGCATAATGAATGCATCGCGTGAATCTAATTTACAAATTAATTAGTGTTAACGCGTTAGTCTAAAATCACGTAGCACGTAATCGGTCAATAATAAAAGATACAGTATTAGCTATATCAATCCAACTATGTTCAGATTCGGTAGGTGCGTTATTTTGAGTCAAATATTATTTATTTATTTTCAAAAAAGTAGAAAATTCCAAATAACGCGCAGATACGCGTTATCACGCATTTATACGGTAATTATAATAAGTAAAGCTAAATTGAAAGTCATGAAATGTGTAAGGCCATTATTTCATCGAAAATGATCGCTTTATTTTAAAATACAATAAAGTTATATTTCTTTAACAATTTGTTCCCATCTTCATTGTCGAACCGTTTATTAAATTTGGTAAATTTATAATGATAAAATGGTATTGAAGGCCGCTTAACAACATGATTTTCAAATCACACATCGTAAACCCCTACAAGCAAAGTTATTTATTTTAAAAACTACCCAACTTACTGGACAAGAATTAATATAAAAATATAATTTTTTAACTCATTATATGATTTACTAGCTTTATTTATACGCACCCTTCCATAAATCATTAGGAATTTCATATGGTTCATTAATCTGTTTGATAAATTCTTGAATTGGATGTTTTAATTTTATCAGCTTCTAAAATTGGTTTTTTATTTCATTTTATCATATCATAATCATCAGAGTTTTTCATTTCTTCAATCAATTCATTAAATGATCGGATGTTAGGTCGTTTTCTCGAGCCTGATTCCATATAGTTTAATATAACAATCAAGTGTACTTGATGTAAATTCAGGTCGTAATCCTTGGCAAATTTTTATCGCAAGTGCATCGCGTCGCTTCCTATTAATATTTCGGACATAATGATATCAAGAATAAATATTAACTGCTTGAGTATATGGCTTTCCCTGTAAAATTTCTGGTGCAATATAAGGTAAATTTCGTACACTTCTTTTTTTTTATATTAGAAATTCCCAAATCTGCAATATACGTACGTACGCATTATCTAATTCATCTTGCAAAATTTTCCACTATGAAGATCTCGATGTCCTAATCCTTTATTCAAGATCTTCGATACTTCATAAAGATTATTATATGTGTTACACTTTTTTCAATTACAAAAAATCATATCATGTCAAGCACCTTACATTGCTACATACAATAGATATCAATATAAATTCTTCATTTCAATAAGTTATCAATATGCACCTCTTTTCATTTGTTTAATTTCCATTTATACACTGGATATAATCTTATAAATTATTCTCGCTTATTTCCTTTCTAAACTTATATCCTTACCACAATATATCTACATAATAAGTAACGTTAATAACTTACATATCTTCCCAATTTTTTACCCTCTTTCTACTTTCAATAACAACAAATCCATTCCTTTATTAAAATATTTATAAACCTGTCATCCATTTAAATCCTTACCTATATACGCGCATACCTATTCTCTCTCTCCTATTTGTCTGTTAACATCATTACACCCTGACAATTTACAAACTGTATTTAAAAACAACATACGTTCATGAAAAAATATAGGATTTTATTAATACTATAACGAGTACATATTTTGTGTAAAACTAAATACTGTAATTAATGCAAAAACCATATATTCTCACAGACAAATATCAAAAGCAGCTATTTTTACACATGGAAAAACTTAAATATAATTCTGCATAGTATAATGTGAATAAATTCTTTGTTTGGACAACAGTGTTAGTTAGAAGAGCGATGCACAAAATTTTAGATATAACCATAACTCTGGAATTAAATGCTAAAAGTGGAACCCTTAATGTTATTGATATATGTCTGTGCCATTATATTGCTATACCGGATATCATAGTCATACCAGCATTATATCTCAGAATCCACAGTATTATTATAATATGTGCATAATATGCTTTTTTTAATGTCACATTAAGCTATTTATAACCTCTTTAATTATATACTTTAAATAATTTATTTATTTTATATAAAAAGCTTAAATTTTAGTACATGGTTTTAAAAGGTTAAGGATTAATAATGCTAATTCTTTATCCATACTCGACATATTATATAAATTTTCTTCTTCATTTTTTAGCATATTTTGAAATAAGGTTAATTTTAAACAAATAATAATAAATGAGATTGAAACGTACTGATAAAGTTTATGCTACATTACAAGAGGAACTTTAGAGTAACATGTTTTAACTCTAAGATATATAGTATGACGGTAATACAAATTTGGACAGGTGAGCACCAGTGTTCGAAATTAGTGTTCTCAGAGTTCTCATAAGAACATTATTATAAATTTGTGCACAGTATAAAAATATTTTTGAGAACAGTAAAATAATAATTGTTCGTATAGGTATATAATAAACAGCTGTATAACGTTGTCATACCAAGCCAGAACCAATAAATATACCTGTACTGTATTAATCTAATAAATTAATAAATAGTTATCTATTATTATTAAGCAATTTGAATTATTTTTTTAATACTAAGGCAACTATTGTAGATATTTTCTATTTCTAATATACTGTCTGCATAAATTATATTGTTTGATTTTTTTTTTTTTTTTGTGAACATAAATCGTAGCTTGAGAACACCTACGTCTATTGCACCGCTCTCATGAGAACGGTATTTTGATCTGAAATTTTGAACACTGGTGAGCACCAGTGCATAAAATTTCCGGGCGATGAAAATATGCCCTTTTCCATCAATGGTTTTTTTAATCTGAATTTAGATACGAGCCTATAAACCGCAGCCGGAGTAGATTATTATAGCAAAAAGAAAACTTCCGTCTGTTAAAAATTGGGCCGGAAATTGTCACATGTAAACGAAACCTCTGGAATTTTACAATAAGATTTGTGCTCTGGTGAGCACGTATGTATTGTACGTATGTACGGTATGGAAACGCAAGGCAGGGCGGATGTGGAAAAGTAATGATAATATGTACTTACAGTTTTGTAGAAGAAAAAAATTTTCAGTCATTTTTCCTAACATCTATCTTTGCCTTAACATGAAAAAAGAGCAATACTAGCATCTTCTAGTCCTATTCATTAAAAAGAGTGTTTACTTATAAAAATTAAATTTTCAAGTTTAGTTAACCCATACGTACAGTACAATCAAAATTTAATAAATTTTCATATCGATATGTCTATCTAAAATCCGTACTACAATACAGGTAGGGTTGTGTTAAATTACAATCTTATAATTTACATTTTTCAGAAATTATTGCAATTGATATCATATTAGAAAAACAATTAGGACTATTAGTGAAAATTAAAATTTTAAATCAATGATAATATTAAACGTTATAAGCTTGAATTGCATTCAAACCTATTCACATTTTGTTGAAATTTTTCCTATACCGGATATGATATCTAATTGGTTATTAAATGAACATGTGATCTTAAGTGTAGAACAGCACAAC